TCAATGAATAGACATATTCTATTGTCACAGATTCTATTGTGGAATCTGTGGTCCATCAAACTGATTGTGGAGATTTAATCCGCTGCTCCTGAGGCTGCTGGGAGAAATTTACCTTTTTCTTCTTTGTTCGCACAGCTCCTGGGGTTCAGCTTTGGATTTGGCCCCGCCTCTGCGTGTAGGTCGCCTGAGGGTGTCTGTTCTTCGCTCAGACAGGACGGGGTTAAAGGAGCCGCTGCTTCGGGGGCTCTGGCTCACTCAGGCCGGTGGGGAGGGAGGGGTACGGATGCGGGGCGAGTCTGCCGCGGCTGAGGCCGGCGTGACGTCGCATCAGCCTGAGGCGCGCCGTGTGTTCTCCCGGGGAAGTTGTCCCTGGATCACGGGACCCTGGCAGTGGCGGGCTGCACAGGCTCCAGGGAGGGTAGGTGTGGATAGTGACCTGTGCTCGCACACAGGCTTCTTGGTGGCGGCAGCAGCAGCCTTAGCGTCTCCTGCCCGTCTCTGGGGGCCGCACTGATAGCCGCGGTTCGTGCCTGTCTCTGGAGCTCGTTTTGGTGGTGCTCTGAATCCCCTCTCCTCGCGCCCCCCGGAACAATGGTCTCTTGCCTCTTAGGCAGGTCCAGACTTTTTCCTGGACTCCCTCCCGGCTAGCCGTGGCGCACTAGCCCCCTTCAAGCTGTGTTCACGCAGCCAACCCCAGTCCTCCCCCTGGGATCTGACCTCCTTAGTAGCCGGAGCCTCAGCTCCCGGCCCCGCCCGCCCCAGCGGATGTGCAGACAAGCCTCTCGGGCTGGTGAGTGCCGGTCGGCCCTGATCTTCTGTGTGGGAATCTCACCGCTTTGCCCTCCGCGCCCCCCTGTGGCTGCGCTCTCCCCCGCGGCCCCGAAGCTTCCCCCCTCCGCCACCCGCAGTCTCCGCCCGCGAACGGGCTTCCAGTGTGTGGAAACCTTTCCTCCTTCACAGCTCCCTCCCAGTGGTGCAGGTCCCGTCCCTATTCTTTTGTCTCTGTTTATTCTTTTCTCTTTTGCCCTACCCAGGTACGTGAGGAGGGGAGTTTCTTGCTTTTGGGGAAGTCTGTGGTCTTCTGCCAGTGTTCAGTAGGTGTTCTGTGGGAGTTGTTCCACATGTAGATGTATTTCTGATGTATCTGGGGGGAGGAAGGTGATCTCCACGTCTTACTCTTCCGCCATCTTGAAGGTCTCCCCTCAAATGAATTTATGCAAAGTCAATCTGACTTTACCTATACTTTTTCTTATGAAATGTGGGAAAGGGATGTATTAGCAGGGAAAGTGCCCCCCAGTAGACTAGTTGAGTGATTTGGGAAAGGAAGAGGCCCCGATGGTGGCTGTCCCCCTGGCCTTTAGTCACTGTACTTAGTATGTCAGCAGCCCTGTGCCCCCAGGCAATATTTTCAGTCCTTTGCCAACTCCACGGTACCCTCTCCAGCATACTGGTCACCTCCCCTGCTCCCTGGACCATAAAGTATCCTCACCCCTGCTCAGGGATGCGCAGGCTCTAGTCTTACAGAAGCAGCTTTGACAAGCACAGATACTTCTTAGGCTGGAGGCTTTGGGTGCCAGGAAATTAATTCATTGCCTATGTTATCAGTTCTGTAAGTCCAAACTTCTGTAAGTGAGTTTGCTTGGAATAAACTATTTAGGTTGGAGTAAAAGGAGAGAAGGGAGATGGCTGGTATGTGTGGCAGGGTGAAGTGGAGAATAAAAGAGAGGGAATCTGTGTGAATGCACAAGAAAATATTTGCTTTAATACCACCTTGCTTCTGTAGAGCACTTTACCGGTATGAAGCATTTTAATGCATATGAACTTATTTTTAAAAATCTGTATCTCAGGCAGAACTGGCTGACAAGGGAAGACTGGAAGAAGTCCAGGCAACAGTGACAAGACCTGGGCTAGAACAGATGTGTCCCTAAGTCACCATTTAAGTCTGGGAAGACTCTTAACTTCTCTGAGACTCAGTTTCCCTATCGATCAAACAAAAACTAAATTAGAACGAGGGCTTGGATTATCGAATTTCTAGAGTCCCTTCGACTCTGAACGTTGATGATGCCATTTGTTATAACAATGTGCTGTTGCATAACTGATTACAGTAGGGCTTTTGTGATACCAAGAGGAAAGTTAGACTTAGTCTTGTAGAGGAAAAATGCTGGCTTAGAATGAGTTACACATCTGCTGCTTACCCATCAGCTGTGTGACTTTGACAAAGTGAGTAACTTCTCTGAGCCTCAGTTTCCTAATCAGGAAATGAGGACAATAAGACTTGTCTTGTAGGGCAGTTGTACTTGTTAAATGAGATAGTGAATCTGAACATACTTTTAAGCTCTAATGACCTAAGAAATGTGATAATTTATTGTTATCACTATCACCAGCATGCAGAAAAATCCATTAGCCCTCTAAGAATTACCTAACAGGGCTTCCCTGGTGGCACAGTGCTTAGGAATCCGCCTGCTAATGCAGGGGACACGGGTTCGAGCCCTGGTCCAGGAAGATCCCACATGCCGCGGAGCAACTAAGCCCGTGCGCCACAACTACTGGGCCTGTGTTCTAGAGCCCGCGTGCCACAACTGCTGAGCCTGCGTGCCACAACTGCTGAAGCCCGTGCGCCTAGAGCCCGTGCTCTGCAACAAGAGAAGCCACCACAATGAGAAGCCCGTGCACCGCAACAAAGAGTGGCCCCCGCTCTCAGCAACTAGAGAAAACCCGTGTGGAGCAGCAAAGACCCAATGCAGCCAAAAATTAAATAAATGAATGAATAAATAAATTTTAAAAAAAAAGAAAAAGAATTACCTAACAACAGAAGCAAATGAATTGAGCAGCCCTTACTATTCGCCCAGCATAAGTCCTAATCAGGGAGTAAAGGCCATTCACAATTCCAGGGAAAAATAGTTTAGCTTCCTCCCTGCTTTACGACACCCACGGAGTAGAATTCTGTGTGCACCTCGCCGCTGTAAGCCACATTCAGAAAGCTTAGGCTGCTAACAGTGATGATTTTCTCCACCGTGAGGGCAACGAAAGTAATCTCCTTATACAGATCTTTCAGAGACCAACAAAGATCACCATTTATATTAAAAATAATTAATTACACCATCGTACTTAGAAAGGCAATACCTGTTCTTCCAAACTTTGTAAAATGACGATTAGAGCACAACATCGTGACTGGAAATGAGGAATCCCGGTACGTTCTTTGGAAGCACCTGGTCTTACTTTAAGTTGCCTAATAAAAGAACTGACACTCCACTGCCATCCCCAGGTACACAGCCCCTCGCAGCACATTTGGGGCTAAGTGTTCAGAATTATGCACGCAGACCTATATAATAGAAGCCTCTACTCCAAGGTGATTTTTCACTCCCTTTCTTGGAATTACTATGTATTACATTGTTATGTACAAGGTTGGAAAAGAAGCTCATCTAAAAAGGGATAAACTTTTTTTTTTTTTCCCAGGATGACCAAGTAACAGAGGGCCTTCATCTCTAGGCAATATTCAGGAAGCCTATTGTTTTCTTTGTTCTCTGATGGTTTTGAGCTTGTCTGGGTTTTAAGTACTGGGTATCTTAGGCCATAGGTTTTAGCAGGAAAGTCTTTACATACAAAGTAAATGACCTTTTTTTTTTAAATTGAGGTAGGGTTGACTTACAGTGTTGTGTTAGTTTCCAGTGTACAGCAAAGTGATTGTTACATATATTCTTTTTCAGATTCTTTTCCATTATAGGTTATTACAAGATGTTGAATATAGTTCCCTGTGCTATACAGTAGGTCCTTGTTGTCTATCTATCTTATATATTAAATAGACTTTTAATTAATAGAATCTTACAGAAATCATAGCTTGCATGGACTGCATGTAAGAGGAAATATAAATTTACTTTTAAAAAACCTTAATTCTTTATATAATTTTGGCTTTTAAAAAAATACCTTGGAAATAAAACAAAGATAGCAAGTACTTTAAGGGTAAGACAACACCTTACCCATCCTTTACAATTTCCGAAAGGAGGAGCATAATAGATGTTTGATCAACGCTTGCCAAATTAAACTACTTTAAAAGTTTCATAAAGTAGATACACACTAAATCAGAATAAGAGTTTACACAGCATTATTATAAAAGCTCCATCCCCAAATAAAATCAATAATGGTGTTAAGAGAAAGTGATGCTCTCTTCTAATGAACTTGATGAAATATCAGTTCTGTGCCTCATGGAAATTTGGGGCTAGAATTAATTCTTAATTCATGCCTATTCCTACTTCAACCTTGCTGATCATCAGAGATATATAATCAACAACTGGCATTCCAATTAGCTAAACTCAATGCATTCTTTTAAACTCTAAAAGTATCTCTATAGAGGGAAAACAAACAAGCAAAAAATATATATATATACACATATATAAAGTTGTTTCAACCAACAGACTTAGGGATAATTGCTAGGAGTAAACGACTATCTTGTCGCGACCAAGAAATTTAGGGATACCTGCTAGAAATAAATGTCTACCTTGTCAATCTACCATTGTTTGCCACAGTTCTTTCTTTCCTTAAATGAATCATGTCTAACGCAGAACTGATCAGTGGTAATTGGTTTAATTCTCTGAGGAACAAGCATCTTCTGTATCATTATATACAGTTTTGGCCCAACATATTTACTGCACTTTTTACTGAGTAACATGGAAGTGAGTGCTGAGTTGGCAGCCCAATAATAAATGGCCCTCACGTTATCTGAGTTGCTCTCTTGCGTTGACAGAAATGGTGATAAATTGGGTTGTAGTTGAGAAAGAAAAGGAAGACGATTCCTCCTGATGCTGAGATGCATTTATCCCCTGCCCCAGCCCTTACTGAACACGCGTGCTCCTCCGTCAGCCTGCAGGATCAGCCCTGAAACAGAAAGCAGCCCAGGGTACCGCCCCCGTCTGGCACACAGGCTCATACCCCTGCAGCCACAAGCCTGACTACGTGAGTGGCTTCCATGGGATGGGGGTAGGGGGTGGAGGAAAGCACTTTACCTTCCTGCACACAGACGGGTTCATCACTTGGGATCCAGCCTAGGGTTCCGTTCAGATGTTTCGTACACAGTCTCTTTGTAGAGCCCTTCAGCTTGAATCCATCTTGGCAGTGAAATCGGGTGACGGAGCTTTCAAAGAAGAGCCCTCCGCTGGGCGTCCTGAAGCCATTCTCAGGGACGCCTGGGTCAGCACACACCTGAAGGTCATCGAACCCTACATGGACAGAGAGAAGAAAAGGTGCCTCTGAATATATTCTTTGGATGCTGAAGGTTTCCCACGATAACTGGCAGACACTGCATTCTTTCCGATGCTATGGGCCACCCAACTCCACCAATAAAAAAGCCAAGAAAATAAACACTCTAGTGCACATTTCACACTGCTTTTTGCCCTTTGCTTAGAAAAGCGCTCATTAGTGACTTCAGTTCCACGGTCAAGTTAGCCCTTCAAGGAGTTTCTAGGAGTAGCAGATGAGGAAAAGTAAACAACGAAAGGAATACAAAACGGTAAATGTCGAGACTGAAGTACAAAATGCAGAAGGGAGCGGAGGAGGGAGAGGTAGTCGGGAAAGGGGGAGATGGAATCTGAGCCTGGCTCTGAAGGACGGGTAAGACTTCAGGGACAGAACCAACTTCGTGAAGGGGACACAGGGGAATGGCCTGCGCAATGGCCGGGCCGGGAGACCGCGGGCGTGTCTGCAGAGCAGCAGGTGGCTGAGAGCGATACAGGGTTTGCAGAAGAGGCAGGCTGGCGATGCCCACCCTCCCGTGCCCCCTGCCCTCGCCCCCATCAGCCAGGCCTGGTCCACATTTCTCCTCCTCCAGGAGGCCTTCCTTAACCCCACTCTCCCTGTCTCCCCCGCCCCCCCAATTTGTTCCACCACTGTAACGTGAACACAGCCCTGTACTGAATCATTTGGAGAATGATCGCCTCTCATTCTGGGTTACGAGCCCCTCGAGGACAGGTTTTGAGACTTTTTCGCTCTTGTGAAACCTATCACAGCTCCGCCTAGAATGTGCGCCATGAATGTTTGATGAGTGAATAAACAGAGTTGGAAAAGGGAGAGGGAGACATACCGGGGTGACCCTAGAAAGCCAGGCTGAGCGAGGAGGCCAGTGTGGGGCCATGGAGCTGGGAAGTGGGGACCAGGAGGCCGACAGGACAGCAGCCTGAGGGACTAAGTGAAGGAGAAAGGGCCCAGGGCGTGGCTAGGGGACCCAGGCAACGGCGCAGTCAGACGTGGTGGGCCTGAGAGCACAGGAAAGCGCTGGAAGCGGCAAGGAGGACGCCAGAGTGTGAGACATCCCGGTTCCAGGGGCCCCTTGTCAACTGACTGGATGTCGGGGTTGGGGAGACAGACAGACGACTGGGACGAAGGCCCGACTCTGGCCTCAATGAGGAGAGGGCTGGGGTCACGGCCCGCACTGAGAGCTTCGGACAAAGACATGACTGGGACCAGACTTGCATTTTTGAACGATCTTTTGTGTAGCCACACGGAGCTCATGGATGTCACGAGCTCGTTGGGGGACCCCAAGGATAAGGAAGGGGTCGTCTGTGTGCACAATGCTCCAACGTACCCTCCAAGGAAAGCAATGTAGGCGACAGAGAGAACCCCAAACTTCTGTGCACTACGAAGGCATTCTACTCCATTTTCTTACAAAATCAACCAACAAGTCCTTCCTGAAAAGGTACCCAGAACAACTATGCATGACTTCTTCCAGATGGGGGGTGGTGTGCCCGTCCACCCCCGCCCCCAGCGCAGCTGCTGGTGCCAGGTCAAGACGTGGCAGAGGGACAGGAATAGCCTGGGCCGTCTCAGAAAATCTCAGCCCAGACCGAGAGGCAGTATCACCAGGGCTCCTGGAGGACTTACGTGGTTTCCAGGCGATGCCCAGATGTCGGACGCATGAGACATCTGATCCTCTGAAACACACTGGGCTTGCAAAACGTCCTCAGCTGGTAGGTGATTCCCTGGCCCCAACTTTCATGGGCTCATGAAGGACTCACTTGCTGTCCTCCCCAACTGACCTCATGACCCTGGACATTCCGCCAGCACCGCTGTGCTGAAAGCCACACGACACGGCACAGTAGGCACCGCGGCAGCACGGGGTCCAGCAGTCATAACGTGCTCTCTCTGCCGAGGGCATGCGGCTGTGGACCAAGCGAAAAGTCAAGGAGGAAAGCAGGGAAGTGGACAGCGTCCACATCTGACTCTATTACATCTTTAAGTGGGAGCAGGTCTGATACTTTATCAAACAGAAGACGCTTTGACAAAGGAGACACCATCTAGCCTCTCAGCCCCCCTGACACGCAGCCGCAGCTCTGCCCCGCTGTGAGCACCCTGACAGTGGAGGCTGTTTTCCAGCCCCTTGGAGGGTGACTAATACCCATCTGGGGGGAGGGCAATAAAGTACTAGCAGGATGGCTTCATGTTTTCGTTTCAAAGGAAAGCACTGTAAATTGTCAAGTGCCTCCTAAGTGATGAAGGCCAGTGATTTCCTTCTGAGTCTGGCCGTCTCAGGGTGGGTCCTTTAAACGTATACCCATTATGGTACTGAGGGGGCAACTAGCAGCAATGGAATTCGTGATTCCATGCCAGCCCAGAAAGCCTAGAAGCATAAACATACAGAAACCTGAATGGTCTGGATGCTTTCTGGCAGCCTGTGAGTGAAAGTCACTCTGACACGCACACGCTGTAAGTCAAACAGAGGCTGTATCAGTCACTGGGCGGCCACAGAAGGACAAGCCGAGGGTAAGAGGAGGGGACAGCCTTCTGGAAGGTCTGGGGCTGACTGCTCACAGCTATGCAGACACCCGCCAGCCAGAGGGAGGAAGGGCACTGGCGGGGGGGCAGGTCACAAGGCATGGAGGTGGGAAGCCGCTGAGCACATTTCAGGGAAGAGGTCGTTCTGCCAGGCTGGGGGCAGGGTGACTGCCATAGGTGGAGCCCGGGGGTGGAGGGTGGTGAAGGGAGGGCAGGAGACGGCAACAGCAGATCCCAAAGGCTGAATGTGTTAGCTAAGGGTCTGGACTTGATGAGGTTAGGGGTAGGGGCATGGCATGTACTGAGAGCTTTGAACAAAGACACGACTGGGATCAGATTTGTTTTGTTGAATGATCTTTCCTGTACTCGCAAGGGGGACTGACTCGTCTAGACCAAGCAGGAGGCAGGAAGCTCATCGGAAGCGCCTCCAGGCCACCAGCTGCACCAAAGGAGCAGCAGGGCAGCTTTGTAAAAGGACATTCACGGATCCAGGCTCCCTCTGGCTGGGCTGGGACCCAGAAGTCTTGAGTTTTAGAAAGTTCTCTCAATGACTCTTAGGCAGCCAGTCCCGCACCTGCCCGAGGGAGGACCAGCATCTAACTGTGGGATCTCACGTCTCGTGCCAGAACTGGGTGGGAAACGAGGAGTCAGAACCAAGGCGGGTGCAATGGAACAGAAATAGGGCCACATGAGACACTAAGGACACAGAACCACAAAACCTGTGACCGACTGGACGGAGGACGGGGTTAGGGGAATGAATTAAAAGAGAGGCATCTAGGATAATGCCCACGTTCTGATGTCGACGACGGCGTAGACAGCGGGGCCGTGCGCTCAGCCTGACAGGACAAGGTGAAGACAGCAATGATATGTCTGGTGGGGGGCCGGGGAGTTTGAGTTCTTGGTGGAGGGGGGACACCCAGGCAGAGATGTCTGGTGATGAGCTGGAGGCTGAGTCTGAAGCTCCATGGTGCCCTGGGCTGGTGCGGGCATGGGCGGGCGCACCGTCCTGGGAACGAGCACAGCGTGAGAGGAGAAACAGCCGAGGAACCCACAAAGGACACTGGGAACATAGGGCCGCGGAGAAGGAAGACCTGACTGTGTCATGGGAGCAAGGGAAAGGGTTTCAGGAAGGAAGGAGCGGGCGGCAGTGTCAGCTAAGATCCACTAAGCCAAGTCTGAGAAGCATCCACTGGCTGAGGCCAGGGAGCAATGGGACCAGTGCCCAGGCAGCTTCAGGGACAAGGAAGAACTGGGGGAGGGCGCCTGCCTGCTGATGCTTGGGCGGCGGGGGGGGGCGGACAGTGAGAGTAAGCATGGGCTTCTCTTTCCAGATGCTTAGTGTGAACAGAAGAACACAGGTTGGGAGTTATCCCTGGATTAGGGTCAAGGGAGGGGTTTGATTGTTGTAATAAAATTATAAGATGAAGGAGATCTGAATATGTCTCTACACAGCAGGGAGAAACAAAGATTGCAGATGAGGGGGAGCAAAGGGGAGTCAAGAGGGGTAAGTTCCCTGCACCTGGATGTGGGCAGGGAGGGGACCCAAACCCTGGAGGAGGAATTGCCTTCACTGAGGCAGGAAGGGGAGTTATGCCAGAATCTCCACTGAGGGAAGCATGTGCCCCATAATGTGCTCATCCTCCAGGACTCAGCTTAAATAGCGCCTCCCCCTGGGAGCTTTCTTCCTCCCTTCAGGCACCTGGGCTGACCTCTCGCCCTGTCATTGCTGGTCTGCTTAGCTGTCTCTCCCACTGGGCTGCGGACTCCTGAAGGGGGAGATGGGGTCCTATATTTCACTTCCTCCTGTAGTGAGTATGAGCATTCCACAAGTGCTGCTAGTGAAGGATTGGTGGGTGGATAGATGGATGGAGAGAGGATAGGTGGGTGAATAGGTGGATGGATAGATGGGTGATGGATAGAGGATAGGTGGGTGGATAGATGGATGGATGGACAGAAGATGAATGGACGGATGGATGGATAGATGATGAGGATAGGTGGGTGGGTGGATGGATGGATGGTTGGATGGATGACTAGAAGATGAATGGATGGAGGGTGGGTGAGTGGATGGATGGATGGATGGATAGAAGATGGATGGATGGATGGATGGATAAATGAAGAGGACATGCGGGTGGATGGATGGATGGCTAGATTGATGAATAGAAGATGAATGGATGGAGGGTGGGCGGGTGGATGGATGGAGGGTGGATGAATGGATGGAGCCACATGCTCTGCTGGACTCATCAGGCAAAGATCCCTACCCCCTCCCACCAGACAGTCACACCTATCACTCTGATAGTCCCAGAAGCTTATGTATTCCATAGACAAGGGAGGTGTGCATTCTCTCCCCCAGCACAGACACACTCTCTCCTAACACCCTCTCGCCTTCCTCTCTTCTCCCAGCCTAAGCAGACTGCATTCCTTAGATTTTTATACCCTTCTCCCAATCCACATC